GGTTGTCTGGTTTGGGGTGAGATGATGCATTCCGGGCTCCGGAGGGGGGATCTCCGGGACGAGCAGCCCTCGGGTCAGCCCAGCTTTGCTGTAGCACTGCCTGCCAACAAAAAGGCTCTTTAGCGTCATTTTTGACCCGGTGAGTGCAGAGAGAGGCTCTCCTTGGCCACGGCTGTGTGGCCAACACTTTCAGCACCTAATGAGCCACTTAAATTTGCCGCAATCGGGGCGGGATTCGGCCCCTCAGATGCCCCGGAGCCCCAGCCTGTGTCCTGCATCCTGTATCCTGCTGCAGCTCCAGCCCTGCCCGGGGACTTGGCTCCCGACCTTGGCATAATTGACTGCGTGCTTAGAGGCGAAGTAATTAAAAGATCGGTGCAGATAAGCACGGGGACACAATTCCTCACGCTCCCTCTGCCTGTGGCAGGCAGGGAGGGGTTTATGGTCACATCCAGGAGCCTCAGCAGGAGGGAAAAATCCTGCCTGTGGACGCGGAGGGTCATCGGCTCCCTGCGGTGTGGGGAAATACAGGGAGAACACGAGGAAAGGGGCACCGGGGACTGACAGATCTATGTCACCCCTCTGGCTCCCAAACGCGCTCAACCCCCATCCCAATCCATGAAGAAGAGAAAACACCCCCCAAATCCTTTTTTTTTCGGAGTGTTCGCTCTGTCGGGGGCACAACGAGCCCATTGTGTGGCCGCGGGGATGGAGGGGGGGGATCTCGGATTCGTGGATGTGAGGGATTCCAGGAGGGCTCCCGAGTCACAGCCCCATCGTGCTGCTCTCGTTGGGCATCCACGGAGTTTCAGGCCAATGATAAATTTTAATTTTTTTGGTTTTTTTAAACCCAAGTAACTTTTGGTCTTGCTCGATCCAAAATGCAGCACCGGTGAAGGGCTGGGCAGAGCTTTTTTATAAGGCTTTGGGAACTGCAGTGTTAAAGATCATTCAGCTTTAATTTATACATATTTTTTAAAAAATTAACCGACCCCCTTCTTGATTTCTAATATAATGATTTATTTTTAATGTAACCAGCCTGTCTCCCTCAGCACAGGTGACACCTCTGTGTTTTACTGCCTCAGTGTTTACGGCTTTGAGATGCTTTAAATGGTATTTTTTCAAACACTGGGTGGGTTGCTGGAAGTTGTGGCACAGGACCTGAGGCCAAGCCACTCTTTAGTGTCTGAGAAAGTGAGTGGGAAGGTGGTGGAGGGGGTTCAAGGAAAAGTGCTTGGCTCTGTCCCAGTGAGGCATGGCATGAGCTGGAGATGTTAATGGGGACACCAAACAAACCTCCTGGATGCTGGAACAGATCTTTGGATGGGAAGGAGAGAGGGTTTTAATCATAAAATCCTAGAATGGTTTGGGTTGGAAGGAACATTAAAGTTCCTGTAGTCCCAATCCCTCCTGCCATGGGCAGGAACACCTTTCACTGGCCTTGGACACTTCCAGGGATGGGGCAGCCACAGCTTCTCTGGGCAACCTGTGCTAGCACCTCACCACCCTCAGAGAGAAGAATTCCTTCCTAATATCTCATCTAATCCTGCCTTCTTTCAGTTTAGAGCCATTTTGTCCCATCACTCCATGTCCTTGTCAAAAGTCCCTCTCCTGCTCTCTTGTTGGTCCAACATGGATTGTTTTCTACTGCCTTAAGTTGTTCCATTGAGTTCCTCACACAAACATGTCACTGGGAACGTGTCAACCCCACCAGGACCTCAGCAGGCATCTTCCTGCCAGCAGGATGGCTCAGGAGAAAGGAATGTGTCCCCCACCCACTCATCCAAGGTCCCTCTCAGGACCCTTCCCAGCACCCCCAGAATGGCTCTGCCCATCCCTCATGGCCCACATCAACTCCATCAGTGGTCCCAGGACCTCCTGCCACCTCAGGGAAGGACTCTGAAGGAGGTTCCCACCACCTCCTCCCACCCAGCATCAGGTCAAACCTGACTGCCTTCAGCTCCTCTCCTCATAATCCCCTTCCATTTCCCCCAAAAATGCCCCAGTTAGGTCAATGCCAGGCTGGAGTGACCCCCCCATCCCTTGCTGCCACAGTGCATCCCACAGACCACTCTTGTCCCTGACAAATGAGCTGCTCTGAGCCCAGGGCTGGGGATGGTTTGGGAGCTGTAAGTGGACACTCCAGGGACTCAGGTGGCATTTGTGGAGTGAGGCCACCCTGTTCCATGGGAGCAGCCATCTGGGAGCTGGGCTGGGAGGGGAGAGGATGAAGGGAGAAACCCAATACCCCTCTTGGCTCAGCCATGGCTTAATTTAGAGCACAGGGGCTCTGCTCTTTTTCCATTTAAAGCTGAACCTCATTCCTTTTGTCCTCCATGGGATGAGGGCCCTGTGGCTTGCAGGGCAGTAGCAGCTGCTGGCTGGGGCTGTGGAGGGGCTGGCAAAGCATCTTCCAGCTCAGTTCCCCTTTGCCACCAGCTTCCTCCCCATTTCACCCACGTGAGGGACTGAAATCTGTCTCCTCACACCTCTGTCCTGTTCTGGAGCCTTAGGAATGAGCCATCCACAAGTCAGGGCTCTAAACTGGAGCTGTTACAGTGGGATCAGCTTTGTGTCACCAGCTGATCCTCTGCCCCTTGTCCAAGTGGATCCCAGGGCAGGGAGAGCTCTCCTGTGTCATTACATCTATATTTAACCACCCTGATGCAACTTAATTCACGTTACAGCCACTTTGGAGAGCTCTTCACAGGTAAACACCTGGCACAGGCCCAGAGGAAAACAATGACAATTCATCAAAGATCATTTATTCCCAGGGGTTCAGCTGTTCTTTAAAATGGGATGCATCCATCAGGCACTTCATAGCTGATTTATGGGAATGCTCTGCCCAGCTCCAGGGCAGGATAAAACCTCCAAGTGCTTGGAGGACTCGTATTTGGAGTTAAAAGGTGGCCAGATCCTAACAAGGAGTGTCCACAGTCAAATATTTGCAGCAAAATTAAGCTTAACTGTATCCACCAGCCCGTGCCAGGGGTGTCACCTCTAGCCTGTCACCACCTTCAGCTACAGTGAGAGACTGAAAAAACTCAGAGCTTATCAAAAAGCTGCCTGTGACACAACTTTTCACTGGATGAAGGTTGTCCCAGTGAGGAAAAGCTGGAGACTCACACTGCTTTTATCCAAGAGAGGGTTAACAATGGCTGGCTGAGAACTGAAGCCAGAGAGATCCAAATGAGAATGGAAGCACGGGATTTTAACGGGAGGAAAAAGAAACACTCAAACTTCCAAGGAAAGCAGGGGGTTGTGGGGGGTTTCATATAAAGCCCAGCTACATCCCTAAAAGAATTGTAGCTCAAACAGCACATCCAGTGTGCCAGAGAGATCCCAGGATTGAGGACCAGCACCAGGGGGTTTTCCAGGCAGGGAAAAGAATATTTTCATTGATTTTGTTCTCTGAGTGACGGGTTGGGATACATGGGGCTGCTGCTGCTTCCAAAGTCTGCCAGGGTTTCTTATATTCAGCAACAAAATGACATGTGCTGCAAAGAAAATTGGTCTCATACCTTGAAAGCTGTGAACCAGTTGCTGCAAGAGGAGCAGTACAGGGAGAATTCAAAGGCAGGCCACTCTGTGGAAGTGCAGAGGGAATTTATTTCAAAATGAAGGTGAAAAGTGAGAAGCCCTGGACAATCTGGGCTGTGTTCAGACCCCCTCACTACGTGATGGGAGACAGATTGCACATTTCCATGAGAAACAGCTACTTACAGGTACAGGCTCTCTAGATAAACTGGTTTACAGTGGTTTAATTCCTTGTCAAGGCTCTGTGTGTGCAGAGATAAAAAAAAGGGAAAATGGTTCTGTGCAACCCCAAACAAGCATATGTTTAAAGAAATGAGTGTTGCAGCACTTGAAAAAAAGGTCTGCAGCGTGTGCTGGCGAGCCATATGTGTTCTGTAACATCCCAGTTCCTTCCCTGTGCTCCATGGGCTGATTCAGAGCCATTGTACTGGAGAGTGGTTTGATTCCCACTGCTTCACTGGGACAGGAGACAAGGAAGGAAGGCAGATTGCTCTGCTCCACTGCTGGGAAAATATTATGGATTCACACTCCATGTAAGGATTACACACTCCTGTGTAAGCGAAATCAGAATCTCCAGCTGCCCGGATTTAGCACAGCACAGTCTCCACAGCCCTGCCCTGGCTCAGGCAGCTTTTCAAGGGGATCTGCCCACTCCTGCAGGTCCTTAAAATATCTGCCAGAGGTGGGATGATTTCTTCCTCTTCACATAATCATCAGGATGGAGCTGAACAGGAACAAAGCACAGCTCACTCGGATGAAACTGTGTCTCTCTCTCTCTCTCTCAACCCAGGATTTATTCCTCAAGTTGTCCAGGGACAATCACAGGTTGCAAGATGCTTTATCCTCTGATGCAACTGGCAGGGTGAGGAAGGAAAACATGGCAATGAAGTGTTTTGGTCCTGCTTTTTGCAAGACAGGCACCTGGCAGCTTTGCTGAGCTATAGGGCAGTGCTGGGGGAGCAGGGCAGGGCTGGGAAGTACAGAGAGTAACTCCCAGGAGCTGAGTTTAAACTCAGCTCCGTGACTTCCTCCCTTAGGGACTCCATGAACTGTCTGAAAAGAGACATCTTTGAATCTAAGCAGGAAAAAAAGGCAGGGACAACACACCTGGAGTGACTCCTGCTCTGCACTTCTTCACTCTGCACAAGGGGAGTCAGGATGAGATCCCTGTGCTGGGGAAGGGAGCACAGGGAGTGGGAGTTTTTCTCCACTTTGCCCTGGTGGCGTTGTCTGGGTTTAAAGCCTCACAAACTTCAGGCTCAGAGAAAGAGGCTGACAAAGCAAAGCAGAAAAAGAAGAGCTTTCAAGACTTTCAGCTGAGAAACAAAAGCAGCACTATACAAAAATGACTGGCTCTCCATTTGCCTGGAATCCCCAAGGCTGCTCTCCCTGGCAGGATGCATGTTAATGCCTTATTAGCTTGCACTCCGTGTTCTCACTGTGCTGCAGGAGAGAAGGACAGAGCTGGCAGGGCTGGCAGCACCTCCAGAAGTCCCAGCACTGCTGCAGTGAGGACCTGCCTGTGTTTTGTGGCATTTCTTCCCAGAGAGAACAAGATCTGCCTGATGGATGAATGCAGAGACCCAGAAATAGGGAATTCATAACCTGGATGGTGAATTTGATGCGGAATGGGCTGAGTTTAAGGTAGGTCTGACTCATTGCAGAGGTGATCTGCACAGTGTAGCTTTTCAGTGGAAACTCCACTGAGTTTCAGAAACCTCTTCAAGCAAAGAAACAGGCTGGAATGGTGAGTGGAGCCACCCCAAAATTCACTTGCAGACATTCACAGGCCAGGCTAACCCTGTCCCTCAGCACTGAAGTGCTGCAGAAAGCCTGAGACAGACAGGTATCAGTGTGCTGATAAAAACAGAACTCAGTTTGTTCCAAGGAAGGGGGCTGGCCTAACTTTTGTACAGCAAATTCCTTCCTGAGCTGATAAAGGCACATTGAATATTGAGCCCTCTCAGGGAACATTGTGTTGAAACCAGAGAGCTTTTGCCCAAAATCCCACTGAGGATTTGCAGCTTTCTAAGTGCACCAACTCCAGCCTGTGCAGCCCTGCTTGCCAACTCACAGACAGAATCTGCTGACACATGAAACCTCTACTTTTTGTATTTCATCTCTGTTTCTCATCCTCTCCTGTAAATGCTGAAGATCTGAGGCTGCAAAACTACACTGCCACTGCTCCAATTCCCAGGCACGATGCCTGGGCTCTCTCCCTGCTCTGCAGCCCAAAGAACTCGGGATATCTCCCTTAACTCTTCTCCTGTTTCTGCTGCTCAATGGCCTGTAAAAAGATTTTCTTCACTTGCTCCATTGTGTCTTGATACAGTTTAAAATCTTCCTCTTTCTTTCTCACAGTTGATTCCAAAGCAGCCTGCAGAGCTTTGTTCTCATCCAGCTGGGTCACAAGCCTAGGAGGAAACAAAGGGAAAACTTTCCTGTGAGCTGTGGAGCTCCAAAGCAAATCAAAACAGCTCTTCTGTTTTGGGGAAGAGACTCTTCAACACGGGATCTCTGGTGATTTTGTGACAGCCCTGAGAAAGAGCAGAGTTAACGCTTGTTCCCTCCCTTTTTGAGGTGGGAAAGGGTAAACACAGCTTGGAGAGAGGGAAAACTCACCTTATGTTCAGCTCCTCTCCCTTTGATTCCAGGGGCAGCTGGGACAGGGGGAATGCAGGGAGCTCCTTCCTGTCACTCACATTTAAGGGGAGTCTTGAGTGACCCACAGACTGGACTGTAGAATTAATCACAAAATAGAGTTTTAGTAAAACAAGCAATTGTTTTTAATGAGTAAATCTCAAGAAACAGTGAACAAATACTAAGGAATTCATTAAATTCTACATATATCCATGATAATACTGTAAATATATAGGACAGAGTTTTATTTTAGTCTCCTTTCAGCAAAATAAAAACATGATGAATTTGCATTTCAGGGCTAAATGCAGTAATACAGGTGCCTACATGTGTAGAGAGGAGAACAACTAATCCATAATATTAAAGCGAGAGGGAAATAATTAATCCATAATATTTAAGTGACCAAAACAATAAGTGACAAGGAACAGCTGAAAAGGATTATTTTGATGTTAACCTTGTAATTGTGTTTCAGATGCTGACAACTGTTGCTTCCTGAGTGTCCGTCACAACGTTTGCACGTGGCACATTTTGAAACAGCTTTTGTAAAGCACTTTGACCCTCAGCATAAACACAAGTTAAATGTACTTCAGTGTGTGCTTCAAACTAAGGTTCTAAATTTATTTAGGATTGTCCACCCCAAAGATGCAGCTCCTATCGTTTCAAGGGGACACAGAAACTTTTTGCAGGGTTATAGAGAAAATATAATTCAAAAAATATGATTCAAAATTTACTACTGGGACTGGAGAAGCCAAAACACTGTGATTCTACTGTACATTGCAACTGCTGTTTTGTGCTTGTGTTGCTGGTTTGGTGCACTGCTGTATCACTTTTCTGAATTCACATCCCTCAGAACATCAAATCTCTTCAAATAAGTAAGTTTGGTATTAGAACACTAAATGTGGAATATCTAAAAGGAGCTGGTTGGAAACTCCTGAGCTCTGACAAAAACAAAGCAGAAGAAAAGGTTGTGCTGTGTAACCAAGAAATGCTTTTGATCTTGGGGCTGTGTTTTACAGGGCTGAGGAAAACCTGCTGTTACTTACCTGTCCTCCTCTGGGATAATTCTTTGATAATTTGGAATTTGGATAAGACAGGTAAAAAAAACCCCAAACATGGAAAATGAAAAGCCTGAATAATTTTAAAACACAACTGGGTTGTTTCTACCTACTTAGCATCATTATCAACTATCCTTGAACTGGAGAGACTAGAAACATTAGATTAGCAATTAGATCAGCTCTCTCTAATTTGGCACTTTCAGAAAGGAAAGAAACTGTGATGTTAATTAGCAGGTTTTCTAGTCTCTATTTTATATTCAAGCTTTTCATTTTTTCTTATTTCCTCAACTCTCTGCCATGAAAGCATTCAGATAACCCCCATGCTCTTCTGAAGAGGTGAATTACAGACTTGCAGACTCAGTTTTTGTACAAACTCCAGAAAGTTTTGGCACATCACAAGGGGCTGAGCTCTCATCAAAGCAGGGTAGTGAAGCAGATTGTTACCCACTCATCTTATGGATTTAGAGAGGATTTCTTATTAGTCTTACTGCCAATCCTTTTCTACTTTTGCTTTTAGTCCTTAAGCAGAGAAGATTAATGAACTAAATATTTAGTGAGAGGGAATCTGTCACACTGCTAAGACCTGCTGCTTCCTCTGGCTGTGAAATGCCAACCACCAGAGGTGAATTACCTTATTACAGCACAACAACCTGACCAAAATGGCTCAGGACCTCAAAGTTTATCTCTTCATCTCTTGGAGGTTGAAAGGAAAAATATACATGGAGCACATGTATGACAACAGAACAACACATCAACCCTTCATTGGGTTGTACAAAAGTCTGAGCACTCAAAAACTCAGTTAAATTCTCCAAAAGACAGCACCAAAATGCTCCTATGCTGTTTAATCAGGAAAAAGTGTATCACTGAGAGCTGTATTCCCACAAATCTCTCCTGGCTACTACCAGTCCCTACACACACCCTGATTTCTTCCTCTGGGCATCTGCAGGGCTCCAAAGCCTCTCACCTCCAAATCCTCCTGGGAATCACAAAGAGCATCCCACGATATGAGTTCTGTGAGGCCCAGCACTGCTCTCTTACCAAGAGGAATGTCCTGGATCCAAGAGGCCACAGCACTTTGTTTTTAGACCCTTGGTTTCTATGGGGATCTAAGTTTTTCTGCTCTCAGGCTCTCAGTTAATACAGGTAAGGCAACTCTAAAAAAATTAGTGCTCACAGGAAAACACATGAGAATGAGTCAGTGTGGCCTGGAACTCTTTCTAAGGGCACAACAATCCTGCTCTAAGGAATGTTTTACAGAGAGCAGTTGGTTTGAAGCACTTACTCAGTCCCCATTCAGGATAAAGGTTGTGGTCCCTCTGGTCACCCTAACTCAGCCTGACACCACCCCAACATTTGCCCAATTGAAATTACCCTTCCTGCTGTTCATCTCCTGGCATTTAAAGCTTTTTTACTTCACGAAAATAGACATTAAAAGGCAAACCACTGGAAAAGTTTCCTTAAGAATATGTGCCATTTTATTGGTTTAGACACTTTACAGAATCAGAGTCCTTAAGCAATAAAAGGGCCTGATCAGGGAAATAAAAATTTTAACATCCACCATGAATTCTTCTCCTTTAACTATGCCAGTGAGGCTTTCATATTTATAGCAGGAGATTATCACGTTCACGGGATAATAAATTACACCAGATCTAATTACTTCATCACCAGCACTAGTTTTTCATGGGCACTGACAGGCCTTAAATTGGGATGCGTCCTTTAATCCTGCTCTTAACCTTCAGCTGGATCCCGCAGGCAGAAGAGCAAAGGGAGCACAGAAGTGGCTGTGGAGGCAACACAGAGCAGGAGCAAGTCTTTTTTTTTTTTTTTAATCTGGAGACTGTCACCCCACGTTGCAAAAATCCTATTCCCACTTAAATCTGTTGCAAAACCCCTCCTGAATGAAGAGGGGCTGGAATTTTCCCTCCTGTGTTGTTCCACTGGATCTGGGCAGGTCCCGGGCACCACGGGCAAGGTCAGGCCCTTGTCTGGGTTTGACAGATGGAGCCCAAATGTTGTTGCTGTCTGCTAACACAGAGGTGAAATGGGGGGCAGAGCTGTGGCTGAGTGTTCCACCTCACCTGTTCTGCTCCACAGGGGTGGTTTCTGTCCTGTTGTGTTTTTCCCTGGATCCGTTTGCAGCTTTTCAAGCTCCTGTTCCAAAACGACACTTTGCCACTGCTGTTTCTGAAGCCTCTTCTCAGCTTCCCAGACTTTATTGCTGCTGTCCTCCACTCTGACAGGCAAAAAAAAAAAAAAAAAAAGGGAGTTCAGTTTATTTATGTCGAGTCTATGGTCAAATCAGTCCTGGTGCTGAATCCTGCTTCATGCTGCAAAGTTCCCAACAGAGGGAAAAGGGTTTTCCATGCATCCAAAGGCAGAAATCCCAGTGAAATTGTTTCATATGACATCTTCCAAACATGCAAAACAGAATTAACTGATGTGTACAGTTAGAAATAACGGGTTTGTAATTGGAGGTTGCTTAGATCCCACAGATCCCTTAACTTTTGTGAGTTCACCACTGGGATGAGCGGGAAAGCTGCGGATCGCTGAGGAGGGATCTTTCAGTACAGGAATAACAAACAGCATTTTTTTAAGCACTCTGGGAAAATCTGGAAGGAAAACAGTTTATAGAAGCACTGTGCAGCATTTAGCTGGTTTGTGTCAGTTATCTGCAGGGAAGAAAAGGAACTTGATGCCGCTTTTAATAAACTTGGCCGTGGAAGGGAGTGAGTGGAAAAGAAACGGATGGTTCACTCTGCAGAGCAGCACAGGGGAGCAAACTGCCTCTATTCACCCCACACATGTTAGAAAATTAACTGCAGGAGTCTAATGTGCACCCACAGACACAGTCTCTGGTGCATCCTGTGGGGCAGTGACTGATAGCAAGTGCTTTAAAGGAGTTTAAAGCCAGAGAGAAACACAAATTGCCTCACTGCAATGTGCAGAATAAAAGAATTCCCTTCCTGAGCCCACGGGGGATGCTGATTACTCTCTGAACCAAGAGAGTTGATTAGTTTATTTCACTCCCAGCTGACATAACTAAAAAGAAAAAAATAAATATTACAACTATAATAAAATTATATCACTGTCTTAAAAATCCAGCTCCGGGCAGGACTCGACCTCCTGTGGAAGTGAATTCCCAGGCTGGGGATGTGCCACGAGATGTTTTATTTCTCTCAGTGGCTCTGAATTCACTAAACTTTCATCTGACCAGGTGCTCCTATAGCATCCACATTAGACAAAAAGAGGAGGAAAAATGACAAGATTACTTGTTTTTTTAATTACATAATTTGCCAACATGAATAACTTAAGCCAAAACGCTGTAGAAAAATCCCACTTTTCACCCTCCCCTGTGCTCTTCTCTTGATTTCAGTATTGTCTGTGTTACCTGAGCTTTGTTACACTCCAAAAGGGGAGGGAAAAGGAGGAATGCCTGATTTATTTGGTTATTTTTTACATATATTGATGTTGAAATCTGACTGGGTGCTATATTATCCAAGAGTTATTGCACACAGTCTCACAAAATTTATGTTACCTGCTTGATAAATGTGTGATAACTGTGGAGCTGCTGAATCATCAGTCTATGATGCGTTTTACTGTGCATTTCATCAGCTCTCTTCTTCCTTATCCCACAGTGGTGCTGGCCCCATCTCACCCATCACACCTCCATCCTTATATCTGATTGCAAAGCTCTGTTAAAGTCACTGGGCTTACAAACATGAAAAAGATTTTCCCACCATGTATTTGCAGGATTTAGCCCTCAAAAGCATCTTTTCCAAGGTTCTTAAAAAAAATATGTATTTTTTTCTGTGATTAATCACACAGGGTAAAAGTTAGACAAGTGAGAATGATAACCATTGTCAAATAAAGCAAGTAAGCAAACTGTGCTTATTGTATTAACAAACACTCAGACAAAAATATGCTTCCTATTTTAGGATACAGATTTGGGAATCAAAATAACACACATTCCCTAACTGGGGGGCAAAAAAAAATAGCAGTAGCTGAAAGGTGTCCAAAGAGAAAAGACTTTGCTTCCCTCGTCCACCTAAAACATAGCTGGCTTTTAACATCATCTTACATCAAACTAAATAATAGAAAATGAAATTTCAAATCAAAATCAATGCTATGCTTCAGTTAAACCAGAAGAAATTAATTTAGGAAAGTATACAGTGAAACTTAAAAAGAATGGGAGAAGCTTTGGAACATAAGTCAGATTATAACTATAATTACAGTATTTACTACTGATGAATAATGTTGCTGCCTAAATAATTCCATGAATATATAAATACAGGAATGCTAGTTTTATCTTGGTGCAGCAAGCTTGAAGATGGCTCTGTTTTTTTCTGCCCTTTGTTCTAAAAGGATAATAAAAGAAATGAATCATCAGCCAGGCAGGGAAAATTGAGCAGAAAAAAAAAATGTAAAAGCCCCTATTTAAGGAAAGGATCCCACTGTACCCATGTGCTGTGCTGCATGTTAGAGACTCTGAGTGTTCCCAAATCACAGGATCCCACAAAGGACAGGCAGGATCAGGCTCTACCTTTTCTGCAGCACAGTCATCAGTGCCAGGAGCCCGTCCCTCTCCACCTCAGCAGCCTGGCACAGAGCCCCGTGCTCCGTGAGCTGTGTCTGCAGCACCTTCCCCTCTGGAATGTCGGTGCCAGGGAGCCTGAAAGCAGCACAAGCACAGAGAGGCTGTTTCCCATTCCAGAAATGAAAGAAAAGAAACAAAGGCAGGATTTGAAAACCATATCCAAATACACTTGTCTGAAGGTTCAGCCAGAAGGCAGAGCCAGGCTCGCTACCCCCCACCCCCAAGCAGCAATGTCTGGACTATAATAAATAGAACAGAAATATTTGGAAATAAAGCCCCTGTGAGTTTCATTAGAAAGGGGTTTCCAGGATGCTTCCCCTTCCCATCACCCCCAAAAACCAAACTTCTACCTCTGATCAACTCATTATCCCTGACTCTCCTCCCACTGCTCCTGCCAAAGAGGATTCTATCTCCAAAGTGCTACACTCAGCTATTAAATGCCCTGCTATTGATTTTCTCCCTCTGAAAGGCTTCAGGCAGCACTACTACAATGGCTGTTCTTGTGCCCAACATGTGATGAAAGGAAGAGGCAGTTTTCCCATGTATCCCATTATTATGCACTTCATTATTTCTCTGACCTCTCTGCATTCAGGAGTATCTCCTTCAGAACAAAAAGCAAGAGAAATCTTGGTGGTTGGGAGTAAAAATGGGGAAAAAAAAAATGGATTTATGTGGTGTCAAATCAGCAATCAATTAAAAAATTAAGATAGCAAGAAGATGTTAGAGCCTGTGCCAAAGCTCTTGGGCAGTATCAGGTAGGAAGGATGGTAAAAGGAGCTACTTCTTCCAGAAACAAGGCAGAAAAGGACAAGGCTTGCCAGCAGCTTGTGGCGTGTGGTGGGACACCTCTTGCTGAAGTTCATATCCTTACCCTTCAGGTGGGATGTCATCCCTAAGAAGGGAAGGCCTCGTGGCTGCTGATTCCACGAGCGTGTGGCCCATACTGGACACTGTGCTGAGGGGAGAAAAGCTTTGTCAGGCAGTATTCCAAGAACTCCTGTCATTTCCCAATGTCTGTGGTTATTCCCACCTTGCAGGGAAGAGCACTCCCAGCTCACACCTTCACCCAGGTGACTGTGCTCCTCTGATTGTGTTTTTATGTCACATACTTCCACAACCACATGAACTCCTGCTCTGCAACAAGGTCCACAACTTGCATTTCCAAATGCCCTTTAAAAATACACTTTTCTGAACCCTTCTGCTTTGTGAAAACCCTCATGAAGATGTGTCAGAGTGAACTGATCACACTGGAGTATCACTTCCACTCTGGATGAGTTTTATACCCAATGATATGTGTGTTTGGGACATCAAATTTTGGTGTGTGCTTGTTTTCTCAGTATGAGCTCAGCTGCCTAAAGGCAAGTCCCTGTAGGCTTAGCCCAGGTTTCCTTGTCTTTAGGCTGCAGCTAACAAGAGGATAAAGCCTTAATATTGAGGAAAAGGCAGAGCTGCCTCCTAGGCTAGGAGTGGTTAATCCTAAAATCAAATTGATAACGACAGACTTGGCTCAGTCTAAAAATGCAGATTTTTTACTTCACCCTCTCTGAGGGGCTTCAGCACCTATTTATAGCATTTTTCATTTCATCTTTCCTGATAGGAAAAGATGATTTACTCCAGTAAAACAGAATAGAGAGTTCATCAGCATATTAAAGTTAATGGAAGGAGTGAGCCTTGCTGACCAAGTTATTAAGAGCTCTCACAGCTTTCAGGATCATTCATTGCCCACCTGACACGTCAGCTCTTTCCATGGCCGGGCCTTTAGCCACGTCCACAGGCAATAATTTATGCACTGCACTTAGTGGCTTCTGCAAAGCCATTACCCAACCTCCTTTTCCTGCTTACCATCAGCAAACATATGAAGTAAAAAAAAAAAAAAAAAAAAAAAAAGGGGGATAAAATATAGGTTTGCTCCATCAGAGCCCAACAACTTCTGCAGAGTTAGAAGTGGGAGGATAAAGGCAGTCGAATGGTACAACAATGGAGATGCAGAAACTTTCAAATTAAGGATGCTTGAATAGAATTCTACTTGAATTTTATAGTAATATTCCACTAGACTCAGGGATACAGCTGACAATTTTAAAGCCAAATTCAGGGTCTAAAATAACATGACAGAGACAAAATCAGTTGCAACTTGATGAAAAATTTCCTCCATCCCCCTAAGACCAGTCTCAAATCCTCATTGTCAATTAGACCATGAACTCTTTAGCAACAAACCCAGCACTTTAACAGGAAAGGATATAACTTGCTTTGATATCTTTACGCAGCCAGAGTGACCCAGAGTTACATCAGTGTAAACAAAAATCAGATTTATTGCTGTTTTAAGATTAGTGTAATTTACACAGTCCTCAACCAAGCTTTAAAAAGGGGGTTTGTTAAGAGCAAATGATGTGGTGTGTTTTCAACATTGCTGCGTGTAAATTCTACTCAAAGTGTATTTATTGATTTAAATAGTGCACCAGTGATTTAGTGCTTACCTAAAATGGCATTTTGTTTTAATTCACCACCCTGCTCACAGAAGTCTCCTCATTAGAAGCCCTGTTTCTCATAAGAGAAAAAGACTCCCAGGCACTTAAGCTGACCACATAAACATTATCTGAGCTGGAGAGAAGGAATTAGCTGCACTACCATCATGCCAAATCTAGTAATGTCTGCAAGTCTGTATATCCTTCTCTGTTCCAGGACAAAAGTCCAAGAGATAATGTGATTAGAGATTCCCATATACTGTAAACAGGCTGCTACAGCTGCTGGCACAAAGCACTTGTGGTTTCATAAAACTGCCTGGGAAAACCAGACTGCTGAATTACTCCCAACAAATTTAAACGTTGACATTTGGGGTCTTCTTACCGGGCAGAGTCAGTCCTTGCAACCTCGCTGCTGCCTGGTGCCAGAGGTGCCTCAGAGTGCTCAGAAGGTGGTGTATCAGCAGCTCCTGAACCCTCCCCTTGATGGGCAGATTCCTTCTGTTAATGTTGGAGCAGGTTATAAAACCAATTACACAGTTCAAAGGCAAATAGCTGCATCAATGCCTAATCAGCAGCCTATAATTATTGCTAAAAGCATGCCAGAGCTTTTGATTTACAGGACCTCCTCAGAAGCTTTTCTTTCATTTCTATCCATTGCAGGATGAAAACAGAGCAAGAGTCAGTAAAGAAAAGTGCAGTTCCCCATGAAATCAGGGTGCACAGTGGCACTGGAGAACCCACAGTGTGGCACCACCACTGCCAGCACAGCTGGTTTGTGTCCCTAACCCAGGTTTTATCCTGTGTTCAGTGTTCCAGTCCCCATTACTGAGGTATTTGGCAGATTCACAATCTCACCATAAAACCCTATGAGTGTTTTAGATCGCTGGGAATTGGATGTCTAAGTATTAATAAAACCTGACTGTAGGATCAGCAGCCTGCTGATGTTGGTTTAACATATTTGTTTGCTTCCTCCTTTCAGCAGCCAAGGATTGTGAACACTGAGAACTCCCCACTGGAGCCCCAGCCCTTGCTGTCAGCCAAGTGACAGTCTTGACATGGAGCCACTTGTGGATGGGATTGATATTTCTGTGTTTTCTTGCTGCTTAAACAACTTGAAGAAAAGTTATGTACTAACAGGAAAGAAACTGAGGAGTTACAAAAGAGGATTCCTGCTTTATTATTCCACCAGGAGAGACTGTCAGTAGGACTGTCTCGAGGTAGCACCTCAGACAACAAGGATCTAGATCTAAAATGATGACACAGGGTGCTTTTCTGGTTCATTTGTTCTCCTACCTGAAGTGTGAGTTTCCCAATCACCTCTTCCATCTTTTTAACCTTTGCCACCAGCTCCTTGAGGTGCTCTATGAGGCAGCTTTGTTCCTCAGTCTCTTTGTTCAATATCTGCCCTATTTTCCAAGACTCCTTGTTCTCATCCTCCTTCTGGCTCAGGTCCTTTAAGATATCCTGCATTTGCTTCTGCTGGCTCTGATAAAATAGAAACAACGAGTGAGATCTTCATTTTGTACACCATGATTATTTACATCATCCAAACAAATCTCCATTTAGGAATGGTAGGACAAGCTCCTGCCCTGCCAAACCCATTCCTTGGTGGGAGCACACTGGTTTCACCAGTGCTGCTCTAGGAGTTTGATTTGTTGTGTTGACCTGAGCAACTGAGAGATTCAATTTGCAGCTCATTGATTCAGTAGCAGCTTTGCTACTCAGTGTAACAGAAAACAGAGCAAGCCTTGGACAAAGAAGGTGAATTAATTTTTCATAAACTGGATGAAAGTCAAGATTTCAATGTGCTTTTTGTGAAATTAGCCCATGATCAGACTGTGTGACAGTGACATTAAAAGATGAGGGTACTGTGAGGTGACAGCTATGAGTTCAGGTGGCTTCACCAGTGAGTTTTGGAGGTTTTCTTTCACAATGACAAATCTAATACCTGTCAGACAGTTTGTTCTGTCAGGTCAACAAACTGCAAGGAAAGTACATCCTCGATATAAGGGATAAAACAGATCAACCATCCCTTCCCAAATAAACTTGCATCTTTCTGCAATAATTTTAGTGAGAATGCTCAGATCTGGCAAAAATGATAACTGTTATTTGGCTCTTCTAATCTGCTGCTCAGCACCCAAGCTCCTCACAGTGCCTGCTGTGAGAAGGGTGAATTCCTGCTCAGTTATAAACATGCCTTAGCTAAAACTTGTGCACAGAAGCAAGGAAATCCAAGTGGTTTGAAACTGGTGAGGAGCTGGATCAGGAAACACAGAACTAACCCTGCTAAGAACTGGCATGTTCTCTAATATATATATATATTATTTTTTACTATTTTAATTGGGGAAGGCTATTTAGAACCATGGCAGGACTAAAGAACCCTGCAATACCATGACAGCAGTCATTTATTTCTTTTTCAGCACCTTAAGTCTGCTGAAACTCTTGGTTTTGAAGGGGCCAAACCCTCTCAGCTTCAGCTGCTGCCAGTGAACGTGCACATGGTTTAGAACTCATGTGTGGTTTTGGCTGTTTAACACAATAAATGAAAGCTGTGTTACAAAGAAAGGAAATCTTGCAAAACTGCAGGCATTCTAAAGAAAAAAAACAATCTACCAATGGAGCTGAAAGTAGAACAGACAATACAGTCCATCTCCATGGGTCAGGAATGAAGCTCTTCCTCTACCTACAAGACAAATCCTTTTTCAATCCTTCTGCAAAATGTTTCTTCCAACTCTTGCAGCTTTGACTGCAACTGTCACACCTGGTGCTGTCTTGCAGCCTTTACATGACCTGACCCAAAATGCAGAAGGGCTTTAGCTGACTAGGAAACCTCTGGCTGTCACAGTTGGATTCATCAGGCTCCTGTATCCCCCAAGGTTGTCTGTGTCACTGAATGACATCATGTTTCACCACTTACAGAAAGAGGGCTGGGACCAACAGATAAAGTCAGACCGTACCAGCAAGGCATCTATGAGTTCATCGTCGTGTTTTCCTTTCTCCAGCAAGGTCACAATCTGTGCCTTCAGGATTTTCAGTTCACCACACAGGATTTTGTTCCTGGCTTTTGATGCATCGAGTTTTTTGTTCACTTCCTCGTGGCTTTTTTGGAGAGCGCGGTGTTCCCCGGCCAGTTTCTGCAGGGAAGCAAACACACCACGGGACATGACAGTTATAACCCATCACCAGGCCCCAGCTGCTTTGGGGAGCAGAAAGAATCACACATTACCTGGTAGAATCTTAAAGAAATCTAAAAAATGGGACTGGCATATTGTATCACCCCTAAGGAAGTAGGAATTGTAAACGCTGCTGCTCACCAGCATCAGAAAAGGGTCTGTCTGCTCAGGAATCCGAGTGGATTAGGTTGATTCTCAACTTTATTCTGTTCAAATGGAGAAGCCCAGAGCCACATAGATGGAGGAAGTGTGAGGGGGATCATGGAATCAACCAGGTTGAAAAAGACCTCTGAGATCATGAGCCATGACCCAACCCATGACCCAACACCACCCTGTCACCCAGCTCATGGCACTGATGCCACATCCAGTCTCTGCTTAAACACCTCCAGGGATGGTGACTCCACCCCCTCCCTGGGCAGCCCATTCCAATGGCTGAGCGCTCTCCATGGAAAACACTTCTTCCTAATGTCCAACCTAAACCTCCCCTGGCACAGCTTGAGACTGAGCCCTCTTGTCCTGCTGCTGGTTCCTGGGAGAAGAGACCAACCCCCCCCTCAGCTCCCCCCTCCTGTCAGGGAGTTGCAGAGAGTGAGGAGGTCTCCCCTGAGCCTCCTCTTCTCCAGGCTCAACAAGCCCAGCTCCCTCAGCCTCTCCTCACAGCACTTGTGCTCCAGTCCCTTCCCCAGCCTTGTTGCTCTTCTCTGCACCTGCTCCAGCCCCTCCATGTCCTTCCTGAACTGAGGGGCCCAGACTGCCCTGCTCCTGCTGCCACACTCTTCCTGATCCAGGCCAGGATCCACTGGCCTTCTTGGCCACCTGGGCACACCTGAGCCCATGTTCAGCTTCCTGTTGATTAGAAACCCCAGGTCCCTCTCCTCCTGATCGCTCTCCAGCCACTCTGTGGTGCTGCCGGGGGTTGTTGTGGCCAAAGTGCAGGACCCGGCACTTGGCCTTGTTAAACATCAGACCACTGGAGTCAGCCCATTTATCCAGCCTGTCCAGGTCCCTCTGCAGAGCTCTCCTGCCCTCCAGCAGATGGAAACTCCCCCTCAGCTTGGTGTCATCTGCAAATTTGCTGATGGTGGACTCAATCCCCTCATCCAGATCATCAGTAAACAGGACTGGGTCCAGCAGTGATCCCTGGGGACACCACTAGTGACCAGATCCCAACTGGATGCAGCACCATTTCCCACCAGTTAAGAACTGGCCATCAGCCAGTTCCTAACCCAGCAGAGAGTGCCCCTGTCCAAGCTGTGGACTGCAGCTTTTCCAGGAGTGTGCCATGGGAGTATCCAAGGCTTTGCTGAAGTGCAGGTAGACACATCCACAGCCTTCCCCTCATCCAACAGGAGGGTCAACTGGTCATAAAAGGAGATCAGGTTGGTCAGCCAGGACCTGTCCCTCCTAAATCCACTCTGGCTGGGTCTGATTCCCTGTCCATCCTACAGGTGCCATGTGATGTTTGTTTCTAACACTGCAAGAAGAATGTACACCTGACCAAGGGCCAGAAGGACACTCTGGAATTTGGATGTAGCTCTAGCAGGGCTTGTCTGTGGAGTGTGGCAGAACTTCCTCCAGCAGATCAAGTTGAGATGGTCTCTGGGTAGGGTGTAACACACCCTGTAAGGCAAATTATTACACAGCACACGCCCAAACAGGACTCTGTTGGTTCACAGGTTTTTACCTCCAAAGCTTCTTTCTTTTCTTTCTCCAAGTTGCGAAGCTTCAGCAAGTGCTTCTCCTGGGCTGACAACTTCCTTGGATCCTCAAGGGCCAGGAATTCCTCATCAATGTCCATCACTGATCTTCTGGTCTTGTTTTGACCCAGCTTACTCTCCAGCTCTCGAACCTAGGGGACAATAATGGCGACTCATCCAGGCGTCTGTCAGGAGCACAGGGGTCCAGCACCAAAGGGACACAACCAAAGGCAGCTCAGAGTGTATCCTCATATTAATTCCTGATATTATTAACTACCACAGAGCAGTGTCTGGTCTTTCAAATTTAAATTTAGCTGCTAATAAAACATGCAGATTTTAGGGCATCTGTGCAGGAAGGAGATATGACACCAGACCTCTGGTTGACTCGGGACACGTGGGAGATCTGTGGCTTTTTGGAGCCACATGTGGAGGCCAGGCAGACACTCCAGAGCATCTGAAATGTGTGTAGGCAAGTGAACTCAGACCCTGCTTGTCACCTACTCACTGCAGACTCCTTTTATAGTCAGCAGAAGGAATTGGGTACTGCCACAGCTCAGTTCCTCTGCCTGTTCTGGAGGTGTGATCCAAGATAAGATGGACCTGCCTCACTTTTGATCCAGTGACTGTATTTACAAGATCCCCACTGACTACAAAAGGGGCCCGAGGAGACTGTCTCAAAAAGAAGTCTCTGCTTTAGAGCAGAGAACAGTATGTACAGTCTTCAGATGAACCCCAGGCAGGGGGTATAACAGAAGAAAATGTGATTTGATCAAGGGAAAGCAGAGGTTAACAACCCCGGTCAATCAGAGTGCAGAAATCACAGTTTGATGGCATATAATTAAATAGCAGAAAAGTAGGAAAATTATGTATCAAATTGCCTGAGAGAAGTTTTATTTAGATGCAGACAAAGCTGCCTCCTTGTCTCCAGCTGACATTTCAACCCTTCAGAAGATTCAGGAGTTAAAGATTTTACTGAAGCTCCCTAAGGAACAACTTGAAAAATCTTATCTGGCCTCAATTCTTCCCATCTGACTTTAGGCACTGAACAAAGGTGTCTAAGTCAGAGCACAGACACTGACAGGGCTCCTTCTGTTCTCAGTGGAGGGAGGCACCTTCAAAGCACCCTGGGATTTTAACTCAGCTGCCACAGCTCTCCAGGGTCACTCAACTCACTCATTTCACACAGATGTGAAAGATTCCCAGTTAAATACCCAACCTTGCATGGTTGCAATAGAGTAATTACTATAGATTTTAAGAATTAATGAAGAATTAACAGTACCTTTACCTTAAATTGAGGTGATATCAATACTTAGAAAGAGAATTCCAGCTTCCAGCTGAGGTGGCACCACCCAGAGTCTTCACTCACCTTGTTTTGGAGAACGAGGATCTGCTGGGCCCGTCCACGCCAGCTGCCAGAATTGGCCAAGAGACTTTGAATATTCACATCTTCCCCAATTTCATTTGCCAAGAGCTGTGGAAAAAGGGGATTAACACCAACAGTGAGGCTTGAATAGAAGTGTTGGGGCTCTCTCTAGCAGTAAACACAAGCATTACTAACAGTTTTCAATAGATGCCGTTATTTTTTATATAATGAATATTTAACCATAATTAAATAGGGCATTTATTTGCCTAAATTTGTCTAAATACACACCCTTGCCATCAGGAATTGAGCCAAATTCCCTTGCACAATTCTGACACAGCTAAACTTAGTATGGAGAGCATTTAAATTATTTATAAAAAGGTCAGCAGAGTTCTATTTTTAGGACCATACTCTCTACTCTGATCTGCATTGCAGGTCTCTTACACAAACTAAGGAAACCAGGGGAAACAGAGCACATAGAAACACTTAAATCCATCCTGAATCAAAGAGGGAAAGGTTATTCTGGATGTCACTCCAGCAAACTATTTAAACACGTGCTTTATTTCCAGCAGTTTTTAATCCCGTTGATTTCCATGGGACTGAAACCTATATTAAAACCAAACACAGAATTAAATGATAATTTAAATGCATCCTGAAATGGTACCTTTTGGGTCATCTTCAGTTCCTGTCTGGAGGATTGGAGCTGGTTCCGATATTCCATGGCTTTAAAGTTGGCTGTGTTTAATTTTTCTTGCAGTGCTTTCACCTCTGGACTTTCAGCCTGTGAAGAGAAGAATGTACTCGGTAAGAACAGAATCCTCAGGGGAAAACTGAAGTGATTAAGAACCACACATTTATCAGGATCACAGAATCTGTCCTTCCAGACCCATTTCCTCCCTGATTTTTGGGGTATTCGGGAAGTATAAACCGAACATGGTCACAAAACTGGTGACAGGGACACATCCTTGTCCTAAGGAAAGGACTGCACTGAGTATCAGCTTCTGATTTCCTCTCTTCAGTTACAATTCATACCAACTTTTCTTCCAGCATCTTCAGAGTTGATTCCTTGATTCCACCACCACCAAGGGAATGTATTTTTTCTACAGCTGCCTGTAGCTGGAAAAAAACCCAAACATTGTTATTGTACAATGGATGCAGTGAAGAGAATCCCTGTATGGTGTGTTAATTAGTAAAAAATTAAAATATGGATGTTTATTAACTCTGTAAAAAATAATTAATTTTCCCTTGTTTTTAAACACAGTCAGTAGGAAAGAATATTTTTTCCCTGGAATGCTTCCCAAAGAGTCATGGGTTATTTTATTGTGGAATAACTTCAACAAATGTCTCTGACTTGGTGAGATGGGATCAGATTTCAAGTATAGAGATTCCTGGGGCATTTTATCGCCATAGGTACAAAAAATTAGTGTTTATACACATAAATGTAAATCCTGCCCAGCCCAGGATATTTCATAAAAAGCACATATTCTACTCACCAGAGGAATATAAAAGGAGAAATGACTACTTGATGCCCTACAGCTGAGATTTAATGGTGTTAAGGCTCTTTTTCTTTAGCTGATAGCTCTAAGGTAGCATTTTTTAGCCCATGAAGAATAAAGAATATGTCCCCTATTGCTCATCACAGCAAAGGAAGGCAGACATACAGGCCCTCCTGCCCTGAATCAAGCCCTGTGCTGAGGTTGCAAAGACTTCTTACTGGATGGGAGCGCAGGAATTTGG